GGTTGCTTGCGTAAACATTTTAAAGGAAATGACTTTAGGGTACCTCGAGATTCGTTGTCCTCGGCGTCGGCGTCGTGGTTTCTTAAGCTCCCTATGAGCGAGCGGAGGCGGCGGCTGAAATTCAGGCTAAAAATTCCTGAGAGGTAAAGAATATACGTCGGTACAATATATGTACCTATACACCACGTACCCACCACTAGGACAGCGCTTGGTTACCAAGCACTGTCCCAACCTCGTTCCCAGGGTCCTCTCTCTTCCTTCCTCGAGAAGAGAGAGAACCCTGGGAACGATCGTGAATCATGGAGTCAGTTCTATGTTTTGCCGTTACCTCTATAGCTCTTTACATGGGATACTACTTAGCCTTCGTTGTGAGGAAACCGCAGATTATTTCCAAGCCTGGATCAGGCATTTCACTGTTTATCAAGGAACGCTGCCCATTTGTCAATCAGTTATATTGGCCGACATTTTGGTGTTTTGGAGGCCGTGCTCAGACGTTGGTAGCAAGTGTTCTGAAGTCACACCCCTTGGTTGTTTACGACAGAGAACTGATTCACTCAAATGATGGTGGAGAAATTGCGCTGGACTGGGTCAATAACTCTGGCTCTAGCAATCCTCTGACCGTATTAATTCTGCCTGGTTTGACAGGAACAAGTCAACATAACTACATCCTTCATTTTGTGTTACAAATTACCCAGAAACTAGACTGCACACGGGATTAGGTGGTTTGATGTTAAAGACTCCGCGTGTATGTTGTGCTGCAGACACAGAGGACCTGGAGTATGTTATTTTTCATATTAAAAAGTCACGACCTAACCTTCTCCTTATGGTTACAGGCATCTCTCTTGGTGGCTTAATTTTGACAAACTTTTTATGCAAAATGGGAGAACAAGGAAAGAGTGATATCCATGATACAATCGTTGGTGCTGCTGTAATTTCTACTCCATGGAATTTATTCAAGACATCTAAATCATTGGAGCAGCCTTTAAATCATCTTTTGTTTAATCGTCATTTAACTAATCTTTTAAAAAATGTCCTTAAACAACAGCTATCGTCAAATAAACTTTAATAAGTTTGAAATACCTTGTGACATGAATCAGGGTTTAAAATCAAGCACAGTGAGAGAACTTGATGATAGAATCGTGGCACCAATGTCTGGCTATAAAGACAGCAATGAATATTATGCTGCAGCAACTCTTCATAATAAACCTGTTGATAAGATTAATGTGCCGCTACTGTGTTTGAATGCTGCTGATGATCCATTTGCTCCAGAGGACTCCATTCCATATGATTTGCTTGGTAGGTGCCCCAATGTTGTAATGGTGTTAACACAATATGGTGGACATGTTGGTTTTACGGAGGGTTTAATTCCACGAGGGGCAGGATATATGGAAAAGGTAGTCCTTCAATATGTCCAAGCTTTATTTGAGCAATGGTCAACTAAAAGAGTATGAAAACAATAATTCTGTTTGTAAGGAAAACAGGGCAAAAAATAAAAAAAATAATAATAACAAAATGGTTGCCAATTTCAAATACCAGTACTTGGCATTTTTTCAAACAGAAATCTGTTTAACTTATTGTTAATTAATTAAGACAAAAACCGAACTTAAAACATTAGATAAAAAGTAAAAATGATTAGAGCGTTTTTCAATTGAGTGTCGCAAAAACCAAAACCAAACCAATTACTTACCAGAGGGTGGCAAAGGGAGGGTACCAATCACGCATCATTCTGAATTTTTCTATTAAACCATGCATCGTGGAGAATGTTTTTCACCAATCACGCGTCACATAAAAAGAGGTAAGTACATAGCTAATTTTACTTTCTCAACCCTAAAAGCATCCTTAAAAGGAGAACTCTGGCGATTCAACCATGAAAATGAATCGGCAAATATTCCAAACATTTTCCCCTGAAAATAAAAGTGATGACCCATATGGGAGACTGGGAGATTTGATCTGTATCCATGACGCTCCTGGTTTTCACGGTCTGTGAACAGGCTTCCGATGAGTGGGAAAAAGGTAAAATAGGGCAAGCAAAGAAAGCCTGGTGAGGTAGGATTTTCCCCACTCCAGACCACTCTCAGCTATCTCTTCCCACTTGTTTTTTTCCTTCCCCAATACCACAATCAGGAGCCTGTTCACGGGCTAAGCTGGCAGAAATCTTGTATACGAATCGAGAAGATGTCTATGCCACCTTTTCCATGCTTTAATATACAGGCAATATTTTTGTCAAACCTTTACCCCTTTAAATCCTCTTCTGTGCAGCAATGTTTTTTTGTCTGTGAAGGACGTAACATGGCATGTGTAGTCTCTCTTTACTTAGAGAACTGCTTCACGAGTGGCATAAAATGACACCAATCTCTAATGTCTGTTATCATTTCAGCCCTTTTGGATGACATTCTTTCAGACCTTTCATACAATAGCAGGGATTCAGATGTGGTCTGATGCAATACCAAAAATGATCAGACTACAAAATGAACAAAAATGACACTCGTCTGAAGCTTGTAGTCTTTGTTCAGCTATTTTCAATTGACTTATTCCCATTGAGTCACAATTGTTTGGACATTTTGTACCATGAAGATCCACAGAGATCAAAGACATCAGAGGTCAAGAAAAGGACGAAAAAGACCAGAAAATGGTGTCACATCTGCCCTGATTTAATGATCTTTTTTAAGACTCTGTTTACTAATTTACTTTGAATGTTTATCCTTCTAGTTCATGGACCGTTCACTTATCACGGAAATCTAATTGGAAGATCACACATCACATGCTTGTAAAATAGCAAATCATGCAGAACATTATGTCCCATCCCACGTCATACGGCTAATTTGGTCTCAAATAATATCACACATCACGCTGCTAATTTTGGGGCATTGCGCTAAAGCCCTTTGCCACCCTCTTACCAATTACACTACTACTCAGCCAATCTCGAACCGTAGTTAAACTAGAATCAAAACCAAAGTTATTGTCTGATTTCTTTTGACACTCAATTGAAAACTGCTCTACTGTCATTCAAATCACCAAATAAAAGCCAATAAAAGTTCTTACCATGTCATTTGTTCTAGAGTGAGTGGTACCTCAAGTAGGCAGAAATTGTTTTCTGAAATGGTGGCGTAGGTACAACACCTTTCCCACCCCCACCCTTTTGTGCCCAAAGACTAATTAATTGATTGATATTTAATTAAACAAACAGATTAAGCCGTTTTAGGGGCCTAGGTATCCAACATTGCACTCTGCACTAAAAGTTAAAGGCTTGCCTTCTCTGTTGCCAGATTTCTAGTTTCAGAAATGCACATACCATGCGTACATAATTGAAGAAAATCCTTGTAATGTTTCTTATAATCACTCCTCGGAATGAGACCCCAGAACGACCCCCAGAACTGTGTTGATTCCCCTTGTAGGTGCATTATCTATGGGACTCATAATGTACCATATAAGGAATACTATTACAATACACCTCCGCAGAAAATTCAGAAACTGTGCAACAGAGCGTAACCTGAGTATCAGGCGTTTTTAGCGGGGTTGGAGGGGGGAAGAGCGGGGAGGGGAGGCATGGTCGGACAGAGGGAAAATAAGAGTCCCTTACTAGTACCGCTTAGGTGAGCTCGGAAGGGATGCGGGGAAGCTGAGTGAAGTTGCCTTCCTGGAGATATTTCGTGTGTTCTTAAACCACAAACTTCCCGTTTGTAGGGCGGACGTATAGCTTTAGGTGCGTAAGTGCTAGCGTATTTTTACGAATGACTCACTCAATATTCCTTACGGTTAAGTGCTTTTGAAAAATGAACTTTGGCATTCTAAACGTGCTGGTGATAAACGATACGTTTTTGGGCATCGCCGATGTGCGAGGAAATCCAGTGTGGGTAGACCGCCATTGATTCCCAGAGATGTAAACAGAGCGTAAGAGAATTACAAGCTTGATGTGCCCCAACGAAGTATTTTGGTTTCTACTACTCTTTTGCCATTTTCGGTCCGTATGGAATGTGGATTATTATGAGTCAGTGCAGTGGACACCACAGAACCCCAAGTAAGTTTGTAAAATAACTCAATGTACAGATGTCGTACGTAAGTTATTCTCAATACATGTAAGAGAGCTCATGTGGTTTCCAGTTTACCACCATAAAAAATGAAAAAAATAACCAATTCAACTTTAGCCGATGGTTTGCCTGTAAGAGACCATAATTTCTATCTACAGCAAGACTCTCTCACCTGTCTTTATCTTATTCTGTGTTAGAAATAAGCTCAAATGGAAAAGAAATGTTTTTTCACCCAACATTTTACAATAAGTCTTAATTGACAAATCCTGGTTCACTTTGTCTATCAACATGAACCGTGTAACAAGAGTGTGTTTGAAACACGAAATGGCAAACTGACAAAATGGCACTACGGTTAAGATTCAATGTGAGATGTGGGTGCCTGTGAGAGTAACCTTTACTATGGTTGAGAGAGCTATCCACTCTCAAGTCAGTGATATTTAGGATAACCAGAGCACTACTTAGGCAAACCACAGTGCCATTTCGCCATTTCACCAAATTTCGTGTTTTAAACATGTCCGTATAACAATACAGGGTGATGGAAACATGCATGTGATGACAGTTATGCGAAGACTGATGTTATACAACTGTTTTGAGAAAGGTTAATTATACTACACTGAAGCATCTATACTGGTATATAGAATTATATAGTAAGTCAAATTATTCTTGCAGTTTGATTTGTTCTTACTTAATATTTTTTGTTTCTTTATGATATTAAACAGCTAGATTTCATGCTGTTGTGCATCTGTTCAGTAGTAGATTACAGAAGGCGTCAAAATGTGGTAATAACATCAGTGACACACTTGCCTAACTGCTTGTGCATGTGCTACTTTTTTGTTCTTACTCCATTTTGATGTCAACAGTTTTTTTGAAATCAATTGTTTTGGCTTAGTGAAAAGTTAATCCTCATGCATAATTTATCCATTAGTAGGGTTCTTAATAACTTTTGATCATAGTTATAATATATAGATTTAGCCAAGCCTAAAGCAGAGCTCCTGATTGCAATAATTATTTTAAGTATGAAGGAAAAAAAGAGGATTTGTTTTTCTTGGATCAGAAACTCAAAAAATTATCAATAATTGATAATTTTTTGATGATCATTTGAAACAGAGCTTGATGACGAACCAGAGCAACAATTTGCAGAAGATCGTTTCAATCAATTAAAATAAAATCCGTCCGTGATGGTTGTCAAGTAAAGGAAAAATGTTGACGCCTGCGTTGAACCAATGGATCTGACTGGCATTGTTCTTTGTGTTTTAAATCAACAAATAGGTTTTTCTTATTAACAAAAATATAATAAATGAAGAGCAAAAAAAAAAAAAAGACAACGGGAAAAATTCAGGATTTGAACCGACGTCCTATACCATAATTCATGACATGCATGCGCTTTAAGCACTTGAGCCACGTAATACACACTAAAAAAATATTTCAAATTTACATAAAAATTTCCTTTTGTTTCGCTTCATTGCACACCATTCAACGACTCTTGGATATTTTCGCTTCAATTTTCTCGAAAACAAAAAACAAACTGGCGAAAAAAACAGCAAGGCATTGTTAGGTAAGTAAATTGAAAGCCATATGCAAACAATCGGGCACTTTTGACGAAAAAAATTTTTTGACCTAAATAGTCATTTAGGAGGGTTTTCCACTAGCATCTTCAATTGTAAGCATGTTATTGGTCAGCATGTGGTTTCGCTATTTTTTCCAGTTAAATTTAACAAAATACAGTCAAACCTCCTATAAGTGACCACCCAAAATGTCAATACATGGTGATCACTTACGGGAGGTGGTCGCTTACAAGAGCTTAGACCATATTGGGTCCAAATTTTGCCTCATTAGCGTATGGTAACTGCATAGACTTACCCATGTCTTAATGTTTTGTTCACGTGAAAAGTCAATTTTGAGAATAAATCTGGTACTACCCAGGAATGTGATAATGTTACAGCACTTTATTATCCAATATCTGCTCTATTACATGTATAGATCTGTAAAATGGTTGCTTACCAGAGGTTAAAAACAGTTGAAAATTTCAAACTTTTAGTTCTAGAAGTGGTTGTGGTCACTTATGAGAGGTGGTCGCTTACAGGAGGGTCAAAATGTAGTGATTTGACTTGGAAACTTTTCCACTGGTACTTTGGAAAACTGGTCACTGAGGAGAGGTGGTCACCACAAGGGGTGGTCGTAACCAAGATTGTAGAAATTGCATAGTTACTCAATATATCAATTCCAAGAGACGATTGTGCAAGGAATATTTCGGTGGAAAAGTCAACAACATGCCCAGGGTTAATTTGCACCGAAATGTTGCCTTTGCATGTACTCCCTCCTTCTCCCCCAGAGTAATAGGGAGCTCAAGAAGCCACGACAGCGACGCTGAGGACAATGTTGATTAAAAAATGAGTTTATATTTTACCTACAAATCTCGCGGTAACCTAAAGTTATTTACTTTGTTTATCACTGTCACAACTATCACGAAACTGAATCTAGGACACATTGATAAATTCAAAATAAAAATTTAAAAGATTAGCCGTTGTGGTTCACATTCTCCAGACAACCCAGAATTTTTTCATTTCACATTGTTGTTCTGCGGAGGACGGCAAAGAAATGTACCAAGAATTATAATGCACATGCACAGTCATTGTTCTCCTCATTAAACCATTTGTTTAACGACTTGCCGTTGCCGTTGCCATCGTGGTTTTCTTAATACCTGACTTGAGCCTGCAATCCAATGGAAAACCAGTACCTGGTCAGCAGTGAACTTTAAAAAAAACATACGTCCTCGATGAGCTCTTAACCTGAGCCTGCGATATGGTCACATGATACTGGTCAGTAGATGCCTTGTTTTGACAGCTGTTGGTTAACCATAACATGGATGTCCAATATCAAAGATGTACCTATGGTAATGGTGCTACTATCTTATTTTTCAAGGTATTGGGCTTGCCGTACGGACGTACAGACGGACATATGTATGTACGTACATATGTGCGGACAGTCACGTGACAACCAAATTTTCTAGATCGATGGGTTACCAAATTTTCAAAGGTATGGGGCTCAACTTGCGCGCCCATGACGTACAGGAGCTCTGCTAATAAATATGTGAAAATGCAATTTATTCTTCTGTTCAAATGTGAGTTAATTGCTTAAATATTCTTTTGCCCAAGGTTCCAATTCTCAAAAGAGGATATTCAAGATGGTAAAGCCTATTATAGACTCTCTGTATTAATGACTTCAAAAATGATTGTCATTTGTCCAAACCCCTCCACTTATTTGGAAAATGAGCAGCATGCTATCCCTAATGAACAACGTTACGAGGTTGTATGGTACGTGGATAAACAGAGTTTTCATGATTGCAAAGTTGGAAAACCCGAGGGAAAACTCAATGCTGTTTGGTTGCCCTGTGACACGCCAGACGTGCTAAAGTTTGTTACCCTGGTATTTCAGAGGTTCAGTCCCGATTCCTTGGAGTTTCAACCTGGCTCAGAACATTATTTTATTTGTAAGTAACTTATTTCTGAATCAGTTGTACAAGCTACTGTGTCACCAACTGGCCACAAAGATCTGGCTCAATTAACAGGGTGACTGTATTAAAGGGTTCTTTAAATTTAAAAATGACTGACTTGAGGAGCTTTTGTTCCATTTGGCCAGAATAAAGTGGCGTTAATAATGAGGTGGCCATATGAAGGGGTAGCCATAAGGTGGCATTTCACGATACAAAATTTATATAGAGCTCTGCAGGCATAACACACAATCCTAATAACTTATAACTAACGATAATCCTGTAACAGATAAATAACAGTAAAACTAATGATAAATAAGGCTATAACTAATGATAATCCTTTAGCCCCGCCAAAGTTACAGTTTAAAATGTGTGGAATAGAACTTCAATGTAACAGCACTTCTCTTACATAATGAACACAAGCTCAAACATGATGCAAGCAAAAAGACAGAGGCAATCTACATGAGAAAAATCTTTGATCAATCAAATAAGCATCTACAGTTGTAGCAATTTTCAATTTTCCATTTGGCATTTTTTTATTATTTTTTTTTTAATGTACAGATTGGAACTCACATTCTGAGAAACCTTTGACAATCATTGATACATGTTGATGTAATGTATCAAACACGAGAGACAACATTTCATCGGGATATTCAAACACTGAGAAGAGAGTCGAAAATATGACGTGCAGCAGAGTATTTTTGACAAAATTCAAGGTGTTTGGATAGCCAATGAAACACTGTCTCGAGAGTTTGATATATCTTCTCAATCGAAACAAAAACTAAGGAGTACACGGAGAGGTAAAATCATTAAAATCTATGTTAATTAAGACCGGGTGTACAAACCTCCTTCACGGTTGTGATTTTCTTTGTTTTAACTTGATAAATTATTAATGAGTTTGAGAATTGAACAGCCTGCAGTGTTACAAAACAACATATTATTCACTACTCGTCAATATTAACAACAAACATAATTTTGTTTTTCCACAAACTTGTTGTTAGCACACATGAATGAGTGTGAATGAATAGCAATGAGTAATCACCTTATTAGACATTGATTACCCATTGATTAGTCATTGAGATGTCATCGATATCATTGATTAGTCAAGTCTAGTTGTTAGTAAATAGTGGACATTATATGGTCGCGAGAAGATATGAATTTTATGTTTGAGTGGCAGGAACAATATCTATTGATATTGTTCTTGCCACGAGAACATAAAATTCATATCTTTGAGCTAATGTGTAATGTTCTTTTTAATATATAGACATACTGATGATGGCGTTTTTGACAATTTTCCGAAGATTTCCGACCACTTTCCGAAGATTTCTGAAAATTCTCCAAAACTTGTCCGAAGATCACATGAACTTTGCTGAACGTTTTTCAAAAATTTCCGAACATTGCTGAAGACTTTTGAGGAAGATCCGAAGATGTTTGGATCATACACCGACAAATTTAAGTACAAATTAAGAGACAAAATTATTTGATATCAGCGAAATTATCGATATCTTCACTAGTGAGGATATGGAAAATACGCCACCTGAGTTGTGGATGTGGTTTCGTATGAATTTTACAAGTGGCGTATTTTCCAGTAAAACACTCATGTCTATAGAATAACACTTGAGGTTTTTAATATATTGACCCTGGATATAGTGAACCAGTTTCCCCAGTTTCTTAGCACTTGTTAAATCAAGGTTCCACAGTTATTTTGTCTTCATATTGACTTCAAATTGTTAAGCAGCTAAGTCTTTCATACAATATTTCTTCTTCTTTCTAGCAACAAGTAATGGCAGGCAAGATTCGTTAAACAGTACGTCAGGTGGTCACTGTGATGACATAACAAATGGTATTTCGATGAAGATGATGATTTACGTTTGTACCAATGAAACAGGTACACATATTACTGCAAGGACATAGCTAAGGGGGTCTTGGGGTGTCCATGAGCCCCCTTTTGTAAGCCTTTTTTTAAGCAAACAACCTACAACAGACGGCAAAAACCAATGACAATCTGGTTTCTCTCACTTTGACACAGTATGGCCTGGCTACACCCCTGTACTGGTATTAACAAATAAGATCGAGTATAGCCAGAATTTGAACAGTAGAACAGGTAGACATCTCTTAGCAAACAGGATTCTAGTCAGGTCATGAACAATACCTGCAGTCAAAGAACAGTACCTCCAGAACCGGGTGCAGGGGTGGCCAGTACTCTATGTAGTTTTGTATGGGGAAGCTCTGCCCCTAGGTCCAACCCCTTACCCTTTTGTATACCACTCGGACAGAAAAGGTACCCTTTTAATATAGAAAAAAGGTACCCTTTCACATACCTACTTAAGAACACTGCATCCCTTTTCTAAATCCCTGGAATGAAGTCAATGAACAATACTATGGGAGGACATCAAGCATTACCAGAAGAGACGTTAACCAAAGAAGAGGTATCATTTTTTCGGTTCCTATAACTTAAATTATTATCCACGACAGACTACCCTTTCATATCCTTCAACTTGTGAAATCCCTGCTCTTTTATATACCTAAAGGTTGAAAAAGGTACCCCTTTTGACCAGACCCTCCCCGTATAGGCTGTTATAGGGAGTACCCCTCCCCCCTGGCTTCAGAATCACTGATATTTCTTAAAAGCAATCAATATTTCAAGTATGTGGCAAAGAATGCTCTTAGTCCACAGAACAATCTTTATCATTTTAGGCCAGAAGGTGGCATAATATTGTCAAGTAATCCAAGAAGGTCATTACCGGTACCTTGATGCTTACTCCTAATTCTATTCAGACATACAAATGAGAAAAAATGCGGAGAGCTTAACATTCTGTCCAAAGGATGCAATATCTGATTGAATACTGTATGAAAGATTATTCTGAAGGATATTATTAAAATGAGATTTGAGTAGCACACATTGTCACATTTGGATTGTTTGAGTTTGATTCTCACACACCTTTGTTGTCACAATTTGTCGTTATTGAAGTTTTCATCATAATTCAAGTTTTTCTGTGGCTACTTAATGACAATGAGACAATGATGGGTTGGATCTTAAATGCAGCTTAAATGCTTTAATCATTATTATCAAAAGTTACTATAAATTAGCTTCTGGTTTAAATCTTAAAACTTGATTTCCTGACTTTTCAATCTTATTATTAATAAGAACTTAATCATTTCAGTTTATCGATTTGTTTCTTTTAGATCCTGCATGTAATGAGAAAACAGAGCCTCCTACTACAGCGATAACAGAAAGCACTACAAAAAAAGGCCCAGCAACACAAGCTGTAAGAAAGTCAGCTTCATCAGGTTAGTAATCAGAGTGAAATCAATGACATTCAACAGTCCGATAGTGACAGAGAAGTGGACTTCACCTGTTTATTTCTGCTAATACATGGGCTAAAGGGGCAAGGTGTCCAAATGGTTAGTGAGCTGGATTCCTGATAGAGCAGTCTCATTCCAATGGTGCTCTCACGGTGCTTCTCTCCACCCAGGTGTAGAACTGGCTACTACCAAATTTAATGTGGGGGAATAGCCCCACAATAGTCTAGCCCACTATCCATTGTCATCTGTTCCTTGCTATGCCATGGGAAGCATAATGCCTACACAGTATTCCTCCAGCTGCCACCAGTGTTGGGCCTCACTCCATGATAGATGAGCTGAAGCCAGCTCTTTTGCTGTAGTCCTTCTCCAGGTTATTGTGGGTCTCCAGACCACTTCCTTTTCCCATCTGGGGTAACCAGGGAGAGTAGAAATACCGAGAGTACAACAAGCTCCTGCAATGCTTTGGGACACTTTAGCCCAATACAGACTCCTTTGTGAACATTGTAGGCTAAAAGACTGGATCCTTGAATGTGTTTTTCTTGTTTTGTAGATATTTGGCATCTTCTTACTATCATCCTTGGAGTCAGCATTGCAGTTTCTCTTATGATTCACAGTGTGTGCCTTGTTGTGGTTTGGTAAGATGTTCTTGAATAATAATTTTTTTTTACCTAGAAGTTCCACTTAGAGACTCTTGCGAGTCAATTAATTCTTGTTTTAATTCTTAAGGGATGAAACCTGACAGGTTGTAGTCATTGAACTGGCAGCTTGTAAACAGCGCTATACTGTGGGGCAAAGTTAGCCAAAGTAAACTTAGTCTTGCATTACTTTGGCAATGTATACTTGAGTAATAATGAGAACACTTACACCCATGAATACAAATTCAAAGGTCTCACTCTTGTTTTCTGAGTGGCTATGTGCAGCTCACAGTCTCGATTTTTTCACAGACCAGTCTCAGAGTTTTGTACCTTTTTAAATGTGGTTTATGTGATATATTGGACTATGTTGGATACACCAACCAACACTTACATCAATGTATTGTTGAACACAGTAGTACCCTGAATTCGTCCATTGGTAAACACATGCTTAACACCCACAGGATCTCAAAACTGGTTTTAATTAACGACTTTTCAGAATTGAAAAAATCCCGCAACAAATTTGATTGTCTTAGCCATGAAATGCTAATTATTTAACATCTCAAACCAACTCTGAACATGCAAATTAAACTGACCCTATCCATGCGAAACTATTAAGTGAGATCACACACAAATGTCTATTATACTAGTTCCACTAATTTATATTCACACTGTGATAAAACTGTCATTTTTACCTTGATAATGCTGTTAGCAACATCAAAATGTTGGACAACTATAGTTTTATTATAATTTCTACTGAAGTTTTTCAGTAGATCACTGTCTCAGAGTGTCAATTTTTTGCAGGGCTAAGAAAGTCTCAAAGTCCCATTTTGTTTGTTTGTTTTTATAAATGACATCGCTGTCTTGCAGTTAAAAAGCCAAAATGTTTTGGGCTAGTAAAGAAAAACGCTGGTCTCACCTTCTCGTGAAAATCAAGGTTTCGTGCAATCTCCTTTTGTCACTTTTGTGTACAACAGTAACAATTGTAGGAAACAGCGATATGACATTATCATTTACATTGATTACCTTGCTGTATCTTTTCATAGCCGCAAGAGAACTAAAAACAAAGCAAGTGAAAAAGCCATGCCTCGTCCAGAAACAGATGAGAATGGTGTTGAGAACGTACAAGTAAACAACATAAACTCAAACAGAGTCTAGGCTCTATCAAGAGCCTCTGTGAAAAGGCATTAAACTCAGAGAACTATGCAACATATATGGAGAAAAGCAAGTTAATTTAAGGGCTACAGTCTTCAATATTTTTTAATAATGCTTTGTAATGCACTGTTCCATAAGATATCCATGATACCTAACTCTAGGGAAGGCCTTTGGAAACTCTCAGCAAGAAGGACGATTAAAAAGTCAATTAGTGTTTAAAGGAAATACTTTCAAAGTTAAACTGGGATTATTTCTAGAGGTAGAAAGGGTTCAAAACCAAGAAATGTTTTGTCAGAGGGGAATGGACATTTTCTGGATATTGGTGCTACATGTAATTGAACATAAAATGAGAAGAAAGGTGAAAAATCATCTAGGAAGCTTCTCCAAAAAGTAATTAATTTGATGTATAACCTTAGAAAAGCTTTGACTACCGCTCACCATCAGGAAAGAAAATTTTGTTTTCTTGTTTGTGTCATAAATTTGGAGCTTAATTGAAACTGAAGAATAAATAGTGGGATTTTCATCACCATCACAGATGATATATGTAGTTCCTTTAAAATAAAAATCAACATTGAAATATTCAAGAAGTATTTATTGCTATTATTTTATCAATCTGGTGGTGCCACTGGAGTTGTTTAGTTTCATGAATGATCCAGTTCAGGGCCGGGTTGTTCAAAGCACAGTTAAGCTAACCCAGGATTAGCCAGAATTTTGATTTCAGTTTTGAAACTTTTCAGGGAGGTTTTCTGTTCATATTGTTTGTCCTTTAGTTTTAAGTGTGAATAATGCCAAACCACACAAAACATGGGCAGTGAAAAACATTTTTATTCCAGAAAAAAGGAATACTTTGGTTAACTTAAATTGTGGATTACCATTAACTGGCTTTTGAGCAACTCAGCCCAGTATCAGAAGTTTAAATAGATCTGTGTATACATGTGTTTGCAAGCCGTTTAGACTTGGCAATGTTTGTTTGGTTATCTTTTATCTGATTGGTTCCATTTGGCATAATGGACCATTTAAAATGAAAGAAATGTGTGTGTTTGGTGAACCTGTTTGAGAGGATTTAATCTGGTTGTATGACCCTTAACATATCCTGAACCTGTACCTTCAAAATTAATCAAGTATCAGCCTCAATCATAATATTTTATGCACAGATTGAAGACAAGAAAAAAAAATGTTTGTCTCCCTCTAGAGAAAATGCCAACAGAGTTGCAGCTGTTTTGTAGAATGATTTATTGTATAAATATGTTAGCTTACAATGAACGTTTAGCAGTGAAAGACAGTCTGCAGAGACTGACTTGATGATTCAAACCACAAGCATGTCAAGCAACTGTCATGTCATTTTGGGATTTTTAATGACTTTTTAAATAAACTTTAACAGTACGTATTTTGAAAGTTATATAAAATAACTTAATGGCAAAAAAATGGAAATTTCTGTTGCTGACTTGAATGGTGGTGATTCAAGTAAGCGTAATTTAATTGCCATTGATACTGAAAACTTTAAAATTCTCAAAACCACTCCAACAGTAGAATGTAGTCTTGTGGAGCCACCCTTAGGGAACATAAAGGCTCTTCATGCACAAGCTCCAGGTGTAAAGGAACCACTGTTCATATTATTTGTAGAACTATAAGAATTGATTTAGCATCACATTTCTGCACAGAAACAGCTGTTCAGATTATATTATGTCCAACATGTCATTTTGAAAGCAGTTTTGAGCATATTTTTTTTTTGAGTTATTGTAAGTTTTTATTTTTAACAGTGGGGCAGTAATTGTTGTAGACTCGCTTTCCTGGAAACAGTGATCAATGAATTAATAACCGCTTTTAATTTGCTCAGTGATGCTGTTGGTGTTTCACATTGGGGATGAGTAGTTGAAGGCATGCAAATAATAAGGCGTTTAAAGCTACTACTGACAATATAGTGTTAGCTTTTGTTGAGTACTCCTTAAGCTTCCTTACAAGCTTTGTTAAAAAAAGTAATTTTTTAGCAAAATGTTATAAAAATAGCTAAAAGGCAAGAAGTTATCTTATAGATAATAAATCCTAGATCAGCTGATTTTCAGTGTTGACAAGCAAATGTAATGCATTTTAGGCTCATGAGCCTGTTAGTTAATGATGGTGAATCATGTTAAACTTTGCAATACAGCAATAAAATGTTAAATGCCTGAACTACTTTTTGTCACATTTATTTAGTGGTGGTGCAATTATTTGGTGGCAATGTCTCTTACACTTGTGTGCAGGTTTGCAGATGTATGGAATTAAATAAATAAAATCCATAGACCCTATTCATAAATATAAATGGCTGCCAATTTATAATTCTTTTGTATGCATTTAAATTAGCCCAACTAACCTCGTTTGAGAGTAAAAATTCTTTTGAATTATCAACTCAAAAACGAGGTTAGTAGGGCTAATTTTAATACTTACAAAATAATGTTTAATTGGCAGCCACTTATGAATAGGGTCTATGGAAAAAATAATTGAAAATTAATTGCTATATGATATCAGACACAGACTAACATGTTTGAGCAACACAGTTTATTCACTAGCAGAATGTGACACTGGCACTAAACTGCTTGAGTGCACTGGAAGTAAAGACAGATAGGGGTATGATCTATATCTAAGATAAGATAAGATAAGATAAGAGAGATAAGATAAGATAACTTTATTTATACACGGTTTTTCCATTAGTCAACAAAGTTATTGGACTATCTACCTATCTGCCTAACTACAATAAAAATTWWWAAAAAAAATGCTTTTCATGTAGGCCATGTCTGAAAATTCACTTAAAATTAAGGTATTACTTTAAACTGTGGTGACTTAATTTAGATTTGAAATTGGTCAGTTACATTGTCACGACATACGAATCTTGATCTCAGATAATCATGTGTCATACCATTTAATGTTTTATACATTAGGATAGACTTCTGTTCCAATCTTTGATAATAGAGTCTTTACCACCCTAGTGCCCAGAACAAATCATCCAAATTACTACAACAGCTTGCAGACATTAGGGTCTGAGCTGCGCAATTTTGAAGCCTTTGCAGTTTTTTCGGAAAGGCCCTTACTGATAAAGTTTCCCCACACTACATTGCAATAATCAAAATGTGGTTGATTAAGGCTATTATGAACTTTGATTAAAACATTAAGTGGAGTGAGATGCCTCGTTTAATTGTAAATTACCAGTTTCAGTTTATCTGTAAATTACCAGTTTAATCTCAGGTAATCTCTATACCATTCCTCGTCTGAAGCAGGATACTGTAAACGGTCACTTATAAGACCTTGTAAGCCTTCCTGGATATAGGCCCATTTACCTGTAAGCAAAGCATTACTTCTGATTATGGGCTTCCCCGGATATGAACCCTCCTCTAGTTTAAAATGAAGTGAAATCAGTTTTTATTTAACAAATAAAAAAGACTACGCTGTGTATTACACTGAGATAAAACACGACAGGCATTTGAGAACACAAGGGAAATGTAGAGAACACTCACCACAGGCGAGTGTTTTTTACGTTACTTGAATGTTCTCAAATGTCCCTCATGTTTTATCACAGTGTAATACATGGCTTAGGCTTCTTCATTTGCTTTATGATACAGAGGTAATGTGGCAAAAAACAATAAAACACGCTTTTTCTTTGTTTTATACTCTGATAAAACATGGGTTTTCGACCAATCAGAGCGCACGCAGGGTTTTATCTATATTATAAGATGTTTTAAAAGCTGAATTAAAATTTGGAAAAGTTTTTTATTCTGCTTATAAGGTCCCCCACCCTACCCTCCTCGTCACTTATATACCTGTATGAGATATTTTGAAAGGCTGTTTTAAATGTCCAAATGACAGTGTTTTCTACCCTTTTCTATTCTTCAATATATGAGAACCTTACCCTTTTATAATTATATTCCTCTACCCTGAAAAATGGACACCTCCTGTAGTCCGACATAGGGATTGCCACTCCCTTCCCTCTCCGAGATTCAATCATTCGACTATGATTGTAATGATTTAAATCACTTCGCTGTCCATCTTACTTGCCTAACAGTTCAACAGGTTTTTTGTGTGCATTGCGGTCCTATAATGTTCTAATTGAATCTCCTTACATAACATAATTTATTAAAAATGCTACGACCGCTGGTTTATTTTCCTTGCTCCCCACGTTCCCCACGTGGGACTAAACTATGGCGGACGAAATGTTGTAATCGTCCAAATGAGTTGAAAATCAAATCAATTTGTCGCCATGGGGAAAGACAAAAAGGCAAAAAAGCGTTCAACCGGTTTGACAGAAGACATCCTTGAATCAAAGACGGTGAGACCTTCAGGGAGGTCTAAACGACGAAGGGAAAGGCAAGGAGAATCAGATGACACGGTGAGAATATTTTAAGAGGGGAGAGGAACGGACAGTTAAATTTCTTTCCTCCCTATTTTTTTCCCTATTTTTCTCCCTCCTCCCTAATTTTTCGCCTTTCTTCCTGATTAGTCTTTTAAGAGGCTTATTTCATGTGCTACTTCGCTCCACATGTCTTAAAAGAAAAAACATACAAAACACGTTTGTCATGTCGTTATATCACAGAGAAATGTCTCTACTGGCAAAGATGCTTGAGATATGTAAAAAAATGAAATCACTTGAACGACTGGATTTCTTTTTAGATGCGTTTCAATGTCACTGCTTGTCATGTTGGCCGCTTGTTATCTAATATACCTAAAAGAAAAGCCAGAACACTTTGCTAAGCAATTAATTTTATTTGAAAATCACAGACAAAAATGTACGAACCAACTATTGCCACTTTTGACAACCACAGTATACCTTCTTGTTATTGCAATAATGTAACTGATGTCTCTTTAAATATAATAAACATTGGAATTTCATTTACAATCACAGCCACGACAATGACAATAACAGTAACATTTAATTTGCTTTGGCAATAGCAACAAAAGCAAAGAAGCAGATACATTTACACCGCTGCATATACTTCAGTGAAAATTTAAAAAGGACCCAACAAAACTAGTAAAACAAGTTTTACTTTAATGTTATCTATGTAAAGATAGAAATAAGCGTTTTCTTGTAAGACCTTGTAATTGCAGTCTTTCATTTTTTGA